CTCTCTCTCTCTCTCTCTCTCTCTCTCTCTCTCTCTCTCTCTCTCTCTCTCTCTCTCTCTCTCTCTCTCTCTCTCTCTCTCCCCCCCAATCTCCATACTCTCTCTTTCTATCTCGCTTGCTCTCTTTTTTGCGTGCATCAGCCTCTCCTTCTCTCCGAGTTCTCTTTATCTTTTCTGGGTTCCTGCTTCTGTCTCTCTCCCACTCTTCTCTCCACTGTGCTTGAATTTGTGCTGTCCCTGCACACACTGGTGCATTTGTTTGGTTTTGTGTTTGTGTGTGTTTGTGTTTGTGTTTGTGTTTGTGTTTGTGTTTGTGTTTGTGTTTGTGTTTGTGTTTGTGGGTGTGTGCGTGTGTGTTTGTTTGTCCATGTCTTTTCCTTTTTCTGTACAGGTGTCGAGGATGTGCAGAAGTGATTGAGTGTGAAGAACTAAATCCCTGGGAGTAAAGTGGACACTCGAACTGTGAGTGCGTTGCGCATCCTTTTATCGTCCATCAAAGGTCATTGTTCCAAACTTCATTTTCGCAGGCTAATGTTTGAATTGTGTTGTGGCCAGGGTTCTCCGGTGCTATGCGTGTGCTTAGAAAAAGCATGAACTTGGTCGTAAAACTGCCTAGGTTCATGTTAGCTCAGCACATACATACCAGCAGTGTGCCTGCTCCTTCAAACTGATCTCTTTTTTTTTTTTTTTTTTTTTTTGTTCCCCGCTCTCAATCTTCTGTCTACCTCACCCTTGCTAGCTCCCTAATGGGCCACAACTATCCATGGAGAAGCGAAGGCGAACTACGCTACCCCCCCAAAGTCTACCAGCTAAGAACCCCCTACAATTATCCTGGACGCACGAAGCTGAATTATTATTATTTTTTTTTTTTACTGGGCATTGTGGCCGTGGCTGTTTTCTTCGGCCGATTTTGTGTGGCAGCAAAGGATACGCTGCCGAAAAATCCGCAGGATAGTGATTTGCAGGAATCAGACATTTGGGATTATTATCAAAATAGTAAGTACTCATGTAAATTACAAATAATAATTATAAATTATATGGATATTGATGACGTGATCGATGTACGTATGGTATAACATAATACGGTTAATACCCCTTCATGACCGCGGGGCTTGGAATTCTGTGCTTTAAGAAAATGCAGGCAGATAGGGCTGTGAACACTTATCTGAGGGCTTTTTTGGTGTCACATTCAGGGCAATTTACTGAGTTCGCAGGCGTTCAGTTTTTTCCTTGCAGACGCAAGCGTGACAATCTTCCCCTTCGCTCCATGAAAGAGGGATGATTGATGACAGATGTCTCCCGCGCTTCCCCCACTTCACCCACTTCTTCCTCTTCTTACCCCGCTTCCTCCCCTTCTTCCCCTTCTCCCCCTTCCCCCCCTTCCCCCCCTTCCCTGCCTTCCCCTCCTTCCTCCCCTAACCCCCCTTCCCGCTTTTCCTCCCCTTCCACCCCTCCCCCCCAGTTCCTCCCCCTCCCCGACCCCCCCTCATGCAAATCGACGTACATGCTGCTGAACTTCTATGTACCAGAAGCATTTCAAGCACGCCTACCCTGGACCCAGACAGCAGATGGATCCAGACTGTCCGGCCGCGCTTGTGTCTGGATGCATCTCAAGAGTCTGGATATCCATACAAGAGTCAGGTGCTGACTATCACCACATGGCACTCTACATGCATCTGGACGCTTTCTGGACCAGGTGCATTTGGACGAGTCCAACATTTTGAATGTATTCCGTCTACAAGGTGTCCAAATGCATGTTGTGGGGCGTCACCTCACTCCACAATACTCTACATGCATTTGGACGCTTTCTGGACCAGGTGTGTCCGGACAAATCAAAGATTTTGAACGTATCAGGTCCAGAAAGCGGCCAAATGCGTTTAGACTGCTGTGAAGCAGAGCGAGGCCCGTAGTCGTGGAATTGTCATGTTCTTGAAAACCGTGGAATTGTCATGTTCTTGAAAACCGTGCAGGCATCGCTCCTCTACGCAACACTTCACATGCATTTGGACACTTTCTGGAGCAGGTGCATTCGGACGAGTCAAATATTTTGAATGTATCAGGTCCCAAAAAAGCGTCCAAATGCATGTAGATAGTATCCTCTCCAGCTGCTGGCTAGTAGGAAGATTAGACTTTCGAAAACCTTTTCTTTGTTTTTGAAATAACGGCGGACACAAAATGTTTTCAAAACCCTAAAATGGCAAAAAAACATGCGCCGGCAAAGAAACCAGATGCCAACTCGAAATCAGCATATTTCGGTCCAAAAGTATCCGTTGGGCTTTTTTTTTTTGTTTCTACCTCTGACACCACAGCCGACCCCTGTAAATATGACACCCGGTCTGACACCATGGCCGTCGGTACTTCCGTTGCCTTTCCCAACTCGGCGCGGTTTTCTTTGCCGACACATGTTTTTTTTGCTCATTCGATACTCAGGTGACATGAACATTTTGTGTCATGGACAAGTTTGTTTCCTAACATTTCTCCTGCGTAGCATCGTGTTCGCGTTCGGTGCTCGAACCCAAACGTTCGTGACCGAACACGAACGAGCGCCAAAATCCTCTGAACACGAACTAAAAAAAAAAAAAAAAGTTGTCAGAAAAATCATCAAAAATGTGAAAAATAATAAAATATATGTTATGTGAAATAATAGTACAAACAACTTTTGCCTGGGAGGCATGTTCAAATTCCTAGCCAAACTCTAGCTAAAAATCAAAAACCTATTTTTTATTTTTATTTTTTGAAATCAATAATTCGGGCGTTCAGCCGAACCCCCGAACGTGTTTGGGCGTTCGCGAAAGCCCTCAACACGTTTGTTGTGCTACACAGTATTTTTTCTTGATACAGCGGAACCTACCCCACATCCCTGACCAGGTTCAGAAGTTTTGTCAACGGGAATGAAGAACTCAATATCACCGAAGTTGGCGTACCCGAAATTTCTTGCAACCCCCAGGGACCCCATCCGGCAGCCCAACCCCTTTCCACGGCCGCTGTATATACAGGCAGAAGCTTCAGAATGGCTAAAGTACACTGGTGGTTTAGACCACGTGTACTTGGCCCATAGAACGGCCGGGGGGGGGGCTCACATTAGCGCATCGCGACTTTCGGGGTCAAACCGCCGTTGATAAATCTCATCAATGGCCTGTTTCGCGTTTACGGCATCCGAAAGCTAAGGTGAGGGACCCGCGGCCAATGTATGGGCCAAGTACTGGTGGTTTCAGTATCCTTTCCACTGCCTACCCACATCTACTCCCTAGGGAGGGCCACATCTACCAAGCAGGGGCTATCCAGAGGTACATCTACCAAGCAGGGGCAACCAAAGTCGGCCGTCCATATGAACGAATCCCCACCTAGGACTAGCAGGGGCCAAGGCCGCCGGGAGAATCCAGGACCCTACCAAGACCAACTAGGAAGACCAAGCCACCTGTTTCGGTGGGCGAACACCAAGCACACTGCAGGCGACCGTGGGGAATCGCATCCACGACCACAGGAATGCCACTTGCGTGCGAAACCAACTGAGCTAGGCCGCTGGCCTCAGCACCAATACTTGAAAGTTCTTTAGTGGGGTTGACCTTTTCAATACCTTTATCCTTACCGTGACACTGTTAAATGAGCACCTTCATTTACATTAGCAGCCTAGCAACAGGTGCGCAGCCAGGGTTGCCATCAGGGGGCGGTATGGGGGTGTTGGGGGGGGGCTATGGGGGGGTTGATGGGGTTATTTGGGGTTCTGGACCCAATAAAAAAAAAGATGCCGGACGTCCGACCAGTAGGTGCCGGCCAGTCCGACAGTCGGCTGGTCGGCCCCCGTCCAATCCAGGGGCGCCGGACGTCGGCGTGACTAATCTGCGCACAGCACATCAATTTTTGCAGGTCGGATTCCATGATAAAAAACTTAAAAAAGTTGTGTTTCCAAAACGATTGGTAATGGAGACTTACCTGTGAGCAAAGTTTGCGGCAAGAAGTTTTGGGCCTGCCGGTAGCAGTATGCAGCAACGAAGTCGTCAAAGTGTGTACTCGTGCCACCAGAATGTTTATTTGCCATACATAATTTGTTTTTTGATGTTTATTTGCCATACATAATTTGTTTTTGGTTTTTAATAAATAATTTGTTTTTCAACTTTTTCTTTTTTGTATTTCTGTTTTTCCGAAAGGATCAACACCCGATCTACACTCCTGATTTTTTTTTTTTAAATGTTTTGTCAAATGCTCAAAGCTTCCTGGCGCAAGAAATTGTGGAAAAAAAAGTTGGTGAGCTTAAAATTTTGCGAAAAGCTTCTGACTCCCCGCAGTCGACCGAGCCCCGGCCCAGCACGACATTCAGATTGTGGTGGGGACGGGAGTGGCTTAAATTGTGTCGATTCAGTGACCCGATCCCCCAGATATGGACTCTGCCGCCCTTGCGCCTCCCCCTTGCGCACCAATTTCAGCAGCGTGTGCGACGTCAAGATCGTGGCGGGGCCGGTTGTGGTTCAAATTGTGTCGATTCAGTAACCCTAACCCCAGATATGAACTCGGTCGCCCTTGCATGTCCCCCTTGCGCACCAATTTCAGCAGCCATTGAGTGTGTTGTGTGTCAGGTGCCAGTATTTTCCTTTTAACAAAACGAGTGTAAAGTGGCTTGCGGTGCTGAGCATAATTGTGGGAGAATTTAAGACCCAACCCTTCCTGGGTTTCCCTGGGCGTAATCATATAACGTAATGTTCAGTTATTGCAACCGCTTGTTCACTTAAACTGCCAGTAGGTCTCCCAGCCATTTTTCTCCGATGCAGCCGTGGACACGCCGTAACTTTCGGGGCATGGTGTGCTGGAGGTAAACGGCTGGTGGACCCAGCCAAAACCAAAAATGCGCCACTACAGGGATGCTGGGCCCAATTTCCAGCAGGTACTGCTCCCCACCAATAGACGGAGCCACCCCGAAGGTGCTGGTGGTGTCTGCTCCTATCAGCACCCCCAGCAACCGCTCGGGTTGAAAAAAAAAAAAAAA